AGACGCTGTGGTGGAGCAGCGGGTGGCTGAGCCGATGGAGTGACACCGCCATGTTTGCGCTTGATTAAAAGTGGGTGAGACCAGAGACTTTCTTCTAACTTTCCAACCCGTTGCTGGCTGCAGTTGCTGCCCACGCAATTCCACTGCCCAGCCGGGAGGGGTTTGGGTTTGTCTGAAGCAGGGGAAAGCTATGTATTTTTATGGCCATTAAACTCTAGCGAGCTTCCCAGATCAACCTGCACAGGCCCCTGCAGAGAGTTCACGTGCTTACGTGAGGGCGCTGAAGCCTTAGAATTATGCTTTGATTTTTCAGGGACGCGCTGCTGCTGCCAGGTCCCCATTTCATTTTTAAAGAACAAAAAGTCTTATTTTTTAAATGCCCCGTGTTGAATTGGACGCGGCTGTGTTTGCAGCAGACACAGCTGAGGGCCGGGGCTGCTGGTCAAGCGCCTCTGCCAGCGTCGGTGGGAGGGCTCCCCTCTGCCAGCGGCGGTGTGGCCGGGGTGGCATGCCGTGAATTCCCTCTGGGGCGTGGGGGAACGCTCATGTGGGGTTCTACCTGGAGATCTGTGGGAGCAGGAAAGCGGAATAAATGGCTTTGCTGAATGCTTCTCAGTCGGGATCGTTCTTGACTGCCAGCAGAGAGCCTGCAGCGATCCAGGGCTTTGGTGGTGCAGAGGCTGGGGCAGCGCAGTGCCTGTCGGTTCCCTCTGCCGCGGGGCTTTGCCCCCTGCTCTGCTCCTTGCTTGACTGCGCTGGGGCAGGGCAGCCCCTCTCAGCTGGGGGGTGCTGGCAGGGTGCAGGCCAGCTGGGGGTGCTGCACTGCCACAAACCATTGTTCAGCTTTTGCTGCTGGGTTACTCTAAAATGGCTCCTGCATCCCAGGGCTTCAGGCAGGGGCCTGGGGAGAAGCTGGCTGTGCTGCTGCAGGTGCCAGAGCCCCCCCTGGGCGCTGGCAGAGCTTGGGGACCCTTCGCCCCATCTTTAAAGCAGTTGCTGCTGGGGCAGGCAGCAAGCAGCCTGGCTGTGCTGCGGCTGTGGAGCTGCAGCCCTGATCTCAGGGGAGAGGGAGGCATTTCAGCTGCACCTTGGCAAAATCCTCCACCCATCCAGCAGCCCTGGTGCTGCTCCCCCTGCTCCAGCCTCTGGCCTTGCCCTGTCCCCCCCCCGCCTGCTCTGAGCTGAGCCCTGGCCTGGGGTGGCAGCAGCACCGAGCCAGAGCCCCCCCAGCCCCAGTGGAGAGGGCCTGGGGTCACCCTGCATCGCAGCAGAGCACAAGGTCAGGTGAAGGTGCTCGAGCAGTTGCTCAGAGGCAGGCTCCTGCGCAGTGACAAACGACTCAGAAAAGAGGTTTGGTTTAATTGAAGACGTTTAGAGAGAGGCCGGTGGCGGCAGCAGCACAATGCTCGTCCATGAATAACGGGCTGTGAGGCGGGGACGTGGCTGACACCTCAGAGGACGGGTGGCAGGAGGACACGCAGACCAGGCACAGCTCCCCTGGGGATGTGCTCAAGCACTGCAGCAGAGGAGCTGGGTTGGAGTTGGGGGGGCGGGGAAGAACATCAGTCCCAGGCAATGGGGGAGAAAGGGAGATTTAGTCTGGGCCAGAGAAAGCGAGTGCCAAGGAAAACCAGGGACTTGAGTTGCTAAAGTCGTATAAACCAGTAGGTGTGTTTAAGTAAAAAGTGGCTAAGCAAAAGAGGGAAAAAAAAAAAAAAAAAAAAAAAAAAAGCCCCAAAAAATGGTTACAATAATTTGGGTTGGAGGCG